GACAATTGAGTTTCATTTCCTGTCAAACCCCAGAGCTGGGGGCCAGGATGTCTGGGGGTGTAGTAGAGGGGCCTAGGGTTCAGTAGTGGAACAGGGGCCACTTTAGGATCGCCCCTGCAGAAAGTCGTTGATTGCCCATCAGGAAGCTGCAAGAAACCATCCTCCAGGTAGTTCGTGAAGATCAAAGTATGCCCGCACTATCCCCATCGCCTCTCACTTCTAATCCATTAGTAACAGGCCTAGGAAGCAAGATGCTAGACTTGCAGGGCTGAGCACAACGCCAAGAAAGTAGGTGGTTAAGAAAAAAAAAAAGAAGGCCGGCCACGGTGGCTCACGCCTGTATCCTAGCTTCTCTGGGAGGCCGAGGCGGCGGATTGGCTTGAGGTCAGGAGGTGTCCGAAACCCAGCCTGAGCAAGAGCGAGACCCCCGTCTCTTTAACTATAAAAGAAAGAAATTAATTGGGCCAAATAATATATAAACACACAAAAATTAGCCGGGCCATCGGGCCCATTGCCTGTATCCAGCCACTTGGTGATGCTGAGCAGAAGGATTGGCTTGAGCCAGGAAGTTGAGGTTGCTGTGACGCTAGGCTGGACACCATGGGACCGGCAACTCCATTCCTAGCCTAGGCAACAAAGCTTCACAGCCCAGAGGAGCTTAAGCAGACACGAGAACGTAGAAAGCTGGGGCAGAGCAAGGTGGCTCATGCTTGTAATCCTAGCACTCTGGCAGGCAGAGGCTAGAGGATCGCTTGAGCTCAGGAGTTCAAGACCAGCCTCAGCAAAAGACCCCTTTTCTACTAAAAATAGAAAAAAAAAAACATTAGTCAGGCATGGTGGCAAGTGCCTGTACTTGGGAGGCTGAGGTAGGAGGATTGCTTGAGCCCAGGAGTTTGAGGTTGCTGTGAGCTAGGCTGATAGCCTGGGCAACAGAGCGGAGACTGCCTCCAAAAAAAGGGGGGAAAAATTTGGCTAACACAGCAAGAGAATATAAGGTAGTCTTAACATTCAGCAGCATTTCCCGAAGCTTTTGTTATGTAAAATACTGCTTTCATAAGATATTAACAGGAGTTACCCCAAAAAGCTATCTTGAAGAAGTTTGGGGAATTCTGGGTTAAACGATAAGATTTAAATGAGTAATATGTTCTTGTTCACCTGAATATGCAAGCTGGGAATATGATTTATAGTTTTTCTCAAATGTATTTGAACATAGAAATCTTATTTTTATTTTAGTTTATTTTTGTGGCACATCTCAGAGTACCACCAACTGTTCTGCAGATCATACTTTGGAAAATATAGCCATTCAGTATGATTAAAATTATGTTACTTCACATATGCTATATATGTATATAGAAAGAAAAACTAAGGCCGGCGGCGCGGTGGCTCACGCCTGTAATCCTAGCTCTCTGGGAGGCTGTGGGGCGGATTGCTCAAGGTCAGGAGTTCAAAACACCTGAGCAAGACGAGACCCCATCTCTACTATAAATAGAAGAAATTAATTGGCCAACTGATATATATATAAAAAATTAGCCAGGCATGGGGCGCATGCCTGTAGTCCAGCTACTCGGAGGCTGAGGCAGAAGGATCGCTGGAGCCCAGGAGTTTGAAGTTGCTGTGAGCTAGGCTGACGCCACGGCACTCACTCTAGCCTGGACAACAAAGCGAGACTCTGTCTCAAAAAAAAAGAAAGAAAGAAATTAAGAAAAACTAAAAGTTAACTGCAATTATCTCTGCAATCTGGAATTACTGGTTATATATAAGATTTATATTTTATTTTATTATTATTATTATTTTTGGACACAGAGTCTCACTCTTGTTGCCCGGGCTAGAGTGCCGTGGCGTCAGCCTAGCTCACAGCAACCTCTAACCCTGGGCTCAAGCAATCTCTGCCTCCAGCTCCCCCGAGTAGCTGGGACTACAGGCCATGTGCCACTCCTGCCTGGCTAATTTTCTACATTTTTTTAGTTGGCCAATTATTTTTTTTTATCAACCTAATTTTGTAAATGCATAGTTGGCAATTAATTTCTTTCTATTTATAGTAGAGACGGGGTCTCGTCTCGCTCAGCGCTGGTCTCAAACTCCTGAGCTCAAACTATCCGCCCTCCG